ATGTGTCTTCCTGTTTAAATAGGACCGAACTAAGATTGACATGTTCAATTGCAAATGTTCAGAAAAATAGGAACATAAAGTAAAAGAGAGGGGTTGAGTAGCAATGCATAAGGATAGCGTATTCTACAGGATTATTACTTGTCGTAAATCTTTACCTCAGCGTATTATCTTATAGCACAGAGCAATATAGCACAGACATCGCCATCTGTCGACTAACAGTTATACACACACATATATATATATACAAAATACAGAGGTTCGAAAATAGCAGTCCCCGGATGAGCTTGTTTATTCAGGCTCTCAGGAAGACTAGCGCATACATATATTAATAAATATGCATGCAGTATTTTCTCTAAATCGTCTAAATCTAATTTGTTATTTCTAAACAGTAATTTGGTTCATGCTATAAGACCACTTATATAGGTCAGGAAATTGTGCCCAAAGAGAAAATGTATGAATTTGTCTCATTTTTATTTATATGTTGATTTATCACATACTGTCTATAATTTTCGACCACGCTAGACCTTAAACAGAGCTTAAGGTGCCTGGTTGTGCGTTCTATATAATTGGAAATAGTTCACAGTCTATATACACATTTTTTTTATGTTTATTGCATTGAATCTGTAAACCATTAGGGCTATAATGTCAATATCCCCAATGCTTGAAAGTTTTTTGGAATAGGAAATTACCTAAGGGTTAAATAAGAGATTGAAATAGGTTACATTGATATGAAACTTCAGCCAGGGGCGCTTAGTATGAGGTTTCTGTGGAGATTTTGTATCATGAGCTCGACACATCCTCAGACAAACGTTTAATGTACATTGCCAATCAGTGTGTACCATGGGGGCAACTGACACTCGTCGACAACTGAGTCCCCACAGGAACTAGACAATCGATGTGTTTGGACAGAGAGATACATAGACACATATATACATTAAACATACAATGTTCGACGGGCATGGCCAATTATACATCAAACGCCTTTCACAACCGTCACGTAAATAATCGGAGTCTTCTATTTACCTTCCAGAAGCGTCTTAATATATATTGATTGGTGTTTTATGGTGATAACAGGACTGTAGATCGAGGTAGTGCTTGTGGCACTAGCCTAAAGAACGACACGCTTTTAAGAGAAGACATCCAGTAATTATTACAATACCGTTATAGTTCCATTACGGTACCGATAATTTAATCTTTAAATCTCGTTTGCGATTTTCAACAAAAGCGATGCTTGGTTTCAATTTCACTATCATATACATTGTATACTGTAAAATATTGCGGTCAAGTCTACTATTCTACTTTAAACTTCGCATTTTTTTTTTTTTTATAAAGGTGTAGTTTCAATTTCTTTTGGATTACTTGTCAAATAAACGTCTGTGGGATAATTCATTGTACGCTATTTCTGTTTCGTGATCAAAGAGCAGTGTGCACTACAGCAGTTCACAACAATAATTATCTTTGATGGCTCGAGGATCCCGTGTTGGCCTTCGTACGAAACGCCACTGGGATAACGACTTATGTGTCATTACCGGTATTGCGGCACTAGAATGCATTCGATAATTGCGTGGAAGAAAACACCCTCAATGTGCAAGGGATTAAAACCGTGCCTAAGCTAGCAGAGAAGAATATACGATGCTTCCAAAATTAGTGCGTATTTTATCATACGTATGCTAGTATGGTCTATCATCTAAGCAACATGATTCGGATATAATTAAAGTTCCCATTCATAACACCACGCATACTGAGCTATATTGTAACTATCGGCGCAAACGTCAGATAAATCTATTTACGCAACATCTTGATTTTGTACACGAAAATACCCTGTTTCATGTTTCAACATTTTAACGGTAACCATTGTGTTGCTATGCAAGATTCCTTCTGATTCATAGATCGTATTACATGTGCCATGTACATGTATATATTTAGGTCGTTAAGGGAAGAATAGACCTAACGATTTCAATGTCGTTCAATTACATATCGATATATCACATTTCTGTGTTTACGTCAGAGCTAATGTGATAAGGTAAATACTACAGTTCCCAGGACGGTGAAGCATCACAAAAATACTAAATTCGATTACATTCACGGAAATGATTACTTGTAAATGTAAGAAACGTTTCACATTTGAGTGTTTAAGAAAAGAAAATGTATGAAAAACTTCATGAATCCTTTCTCCTTGATTTTTCCTTATCTGACACTTTGCATCAAAATTCATTAATTTAAAAGTTTCTTGAACAACGACATTGCGAAACAACAATGTCATACATATAAGTTACAACTGAAGCTGGCAACCGAACACTTCATTAACACTTAATTTACACTTCGTCAGTCTGTGGTACGTTTTGATATGATATTCTTCTCCATTCTTACATGGTCATGTATTGTTTGATTTAAACAGATTTGAGTTGTAGTTTCTATTCTAACTGTATAATAGTAATAAGAAGTGTTCAGTTTCAATTTGTTTAATGAACATGTTATTGCGTGGAACCCGCATTGGGTATAGTCAATTGGAGTACAGGATTTGTGAGCAAACATTTGATATATGTTGTCATGGTTTTAACGTGGGACTAAGCCGTATGTTAACAATCTAGCCATCAATATTGCAATAGTTTTTCAAACTATAACATATTTTCAGCGCTTTTCAGAATATGAAAATTGTTGATGAAATACTATACTTATATCAACGAACACGTTGCAGCCTTAAATTAAGGATATGGTGAGTATCAATCTATTTTCAACGCATTCATTTCATGTTTAATAACCAATATAATTTTGCAATCTCTGACGAATTACCGTCGGTTCTGATTATTGGCATTGTTTCCACATTTTTGCAGTTTTCATTCTATGTTTCTAATCTATATGATTATTTAAAAAAAAAAATAGTCCAAGTCTTTTAGATTTCAATTAAGACGCATATTTCTCGTGCGGAATATTTTTATTCGTTTTTTTATTTATTTATTTTTTAAACTGAACGCAAACAACACCATAGGGCCACGGAAATCACAACCGCGACTGTTCACACAGGGTATCATCAATATGCTCCCCGTGGAATGGATTTGACAATTTCCGTGACGAGAGAAGACTATAATCAAATAGCATGAGGTATGACAAATTGCAAATTGCCAAATCGCCATTTTAACTGTCACTATTTGTTCAAAGCAATCTAGCAAGAGGATGTCACGCAGCCGTCCAAATGCGATCGGGATTCACAGAAATGAATGCGTACTGTTCTTTGGTGCAAAGATATCAGTATACTGTGTATATGAAACAAACGGATACACTAGGAGTATACTCATGACACGTGGGTCTATATAGAGACGAAAACACCCAAACGAAGCAAGATTGATACTTGAATTCTTTAAGTCCTCACCATTGGAAGGAAAATCAATACAAAAGCTTTTCCTTTTTGTCAAGAAATAACAAGAGGCAATGGTTTTAAATGTCAGAGATTTCAACATGTACGCGAAAACGAATAGATGGCCTCACTAGATAACAAATACAGTTCTTACATAAAGAGAAAATGGTTCAAGATAAAAATAAAGGTTTTTTTCAAAGATTGTGAGTGTAAACTACATTTCATTTATGTATTGTTAATTATAATAATTGTTAAAGATAATTAATTAACTTTTAAATTAAATTAATTCTTTTAGTCTCAGATGTTGTACTTATATAAATATAATTAATTTCGCCTATTGATCCTTTATATCGTATTGATCAAGCTACTTAATTCTGTCAAATGTCATTTGGTTGATTTTTTCGATTTGCTGTCGGGAAGGTTCACTTGAAAGTGATGTAGACTATAACGATAATTGATGATAAGGTCAGGTGTCGTCCGTTTGTATTGACCGTGTATAAGTGTTTTGGCAGGTGCCCGCGTTATCATTGGTACAATTTGTACGTAAATTTGTCATGATTGATCTATCGCTGTACGATACTGACTAGAAAAGTGGAAAGCTTATGGATCTATATCTATGTAACAAATCCATAATACCGTTATGTTTCTTTAGGACTATAATATAACAAGACATCATGTACGGACTTGTCATTAGTTTGAAATGCGTTCAAATGTTTTACTTGATCACGTTATCCTTCAAAACCTCCTTCCTGATTACAAGCGCTCTATATACACGTATTAGAGCTTTTTATACGCCTATTACAACAATCCTAATCATGACAGTTTTACTCAAAAATAGTTACGTAGTAAAAATGATTCCTTGTTAGCATCATTTCGGAGTGGAGCCCTATACCTAACTACCCATCCTCTGTTCACAATAATAAATAATTATTTCCACGTACCAAAAGGCACACGTAGCTTTCAGAGCTTTTTGGCAAGGCATCATTCTTCTAAAACCTCATTGCGGTATTGTGTTATGTGACCCTAACGTCTAGATTTTTTTGCAGTTTACTTTTTAAACTTGCATTGAATGATTCTATATCTATTTATAAACTTATAAACTTTGATATACCGTTTATTTAGCTGGAGAATAAAACGTTTAAAACTCTGTCGACGGCTTACAGGCATAACGGAGTCAAAGGGACGCAGCCAAAAGGTCCAGTCTTATGCCAAAAAAAAAAACCCGTAACGAGACAATAGATGTCTCAGAATTTCCCAGACGAGATAATGAGATATATAGTTTTCGTCGCTTAAGCAGATTAAGTCGACAGTGTCAGGTTTGTCATTTTATATTAGATTTCAACCCCAGTAGTTTTTATCTGCATCATTTCTTCGAATACCTTATATATCTGTGTGTGAAAAGCGTTTTAAAAAAACCGTAAAAGAAATCTTAACACCTTCAGAGCTCAAAGATGATTACCTGATTCCCAGAACTAAATCGTCTCTATTCGTTTCCCCACGTTACAATCGTTGATTGAGCAGACGAGACGGTTAGTGCGGCAAGACATCTTAATGCGACACTGACACAGACACGTGCATTGATTGCGTAAATCAGAGAATGCTAAAGGTGTGACATAAATATAGACTCGGGTTAATATTGACTTACCTTGTCCAAAAACAATTACACTCGATAAAAATATGATCCGTATACCAAAACTGGGTACCGTCATCCTGGTCCGAATCGGCATTTTGTAACTGGAGAATTGACAAACGTCCATCCGTTACTAGTATATCCAGTATGTTCCGACGTTAACTTAGTCCATCGTTGATCGGCGTTAAAAGCATCCCAATCCAAACACCAAAGTAAATCCAGGTGTCGAATGAGTGTCTTTACAATGTTGTCTTGTCGTCTGCGTCAACGACACCTACTTCCGTATTTGAACGTTCCTTCGTTCTATTTGCTCACCATGTGCTTGCTTGTATCTCCTTGTTTATGTTATTTCAAAAAGTTGTTGTTGTGTCGGCGGGACAAATTGGAGGCGTTATTTCGGTCAACAGGGCTAAGAAAGTGCGAGGAAATTCGTTAAACACTCTCTGATACAGATTCTAACAGAATGACAAGTTTTTTCCTTGAAAATCAGAGTGAGATCTCCCACTGAGATTAAAATTGGAGTCGGAAACGGTGCGTGATAGCCGGACCGATCGATGGATGCTGAGAATGTATAACGGTACATATGTTAGCAATAAACGCGTGTGTGAGAAACGTTGGATGCCAATCAACTGCTAATAATGTGATTGAACGATGATACAGAGGGGTCGGTCTACAAGTGGGAGGGAACAAATACCGACGCTACCACCAATCGGTACCTAGCAGCGCGGGTCCACGCCCGAGAACCGCTCTCTCGCTACTGTAAAATCAATGTGAATGTAAACGAGTCACCAGCTCGCCCCTAACTTGCCTTAACCGTCAGTGTTAGTATGGTGGTACACTTTTCTGGCGGTGCCAAGAGTACGTAAGATGTCTAGGAACTGGGGTCATAATTAGACGGGAGGCCCGGCGGATGTATATTTCATAGATAATGGAAATAAAACACTCGGACCTGTAATTAGTTGAGATTTACCTCGTCCTCATCTGTGCGAATATATCACTATATAGATAAGACTATCCCTATCGAGCGAGTTTGAACGTCTTTTGCCCATGAGTAATACCGACCCGATAGGAGTGACCCGCCCCTCCGGCCATTCCACAATTGATAATGCTGACCACTGCGCAGATCAATTTCCGGACAATGGACATGATACATCGTCGCTGTAAATAGCCTCGCAGTTGTTTTCCTGGTATTTTTCAAGTTCACATCAATATGAAGAGTAGTTAAAAACATCGAATATTTATTTTTATTTCCATAGATCCCTACGTGCTAAGGGCAGGGAAATAATTTTTAACTTGGGGCATCAAATACTTCATTTTCTAAGTATAACATCTAGTTTGTTGGTATTATGGGTCAAAATCTTCCAAGTCTGGAAATACTTCTTTAATCTGATGATCCACATCATCTACAATGATCCACATACTCTACAATGCAACACAATTTGTTTATTTCATACAAAGATACCACATGCGATAGTTTATCAGAGTACAAAACAAACAAATCGCCGTGTACGTAAGAATATCGATAAGTAAGAATAACGGTTATCTCAGTAATTCAATAATATGGAATTGCCGTTGAAATAAAGAACATTTCAAATTTCAATGTTGTGCATACATTTGCATGCAGTAAGTAAAATTTTAACAGTTATTACGAAATTAATATATTTGCAATGCCCAATGTTGTACACGAGACGTTGCAGATATGTGTCTGCTATAGAATCCTTCTCCATTTTCGGTAAGTTTGAAACTATGAAGCGTTAACGTTGTTGGATGCAAGTGTTGTACTGAAACTAACACGAGTCTTACCTGCACCATGTACAGAAATATCTGAACATATAAGGCTATACATGTAATATGTTCAAAGGAGTGACTTAAATATTAACCCTTATTTAATGTATTTACAAAAATAAAGAATATTTCAGTGGGTCGATTTGGTCCATATTTTGAAACCATAATAAACGTACATTGTATGTGACCAGTTGTTCAACTGTACACGTAGATTGCCGTTTAAGTAACAATATTCAGATACTATTGTAGAATGTAAAAATACGTTATTATGTACAAGAAGATTGCCGTAGAGATAACTATAGTAGAATTTAAAAAAAATTATAAGGTACTTTTGCAATACGTTACAAAACATTAGTAGGCCTTTAAGTAACCTGTAACATCACATTGTATGTTTATTAAGTAATAAGAGCGTAGCTCTCGGGAGCCTTCGGCGCCCGAGCGAAGCTCTTTAATGGTAACACATGCGTACGTAAACAGAGTTGCTTCCCCTTTCTACACTTTGCCTTTAACTTCTTCCGGAAGTAGACCTCCAGTGGGGAAAAAGGAAGAGTATCAACACATACTTGAACATCTTCATATAGTGAAAGCAATCTTCATGTTTTTTTGTTTAAATAAAAACTATATAATATACATTCTGAATGAAAAAAGTCCATCAAATACAATGTGATACAAACAGGCATGAAACTTCGTTCAGAGATTATCATACTATGACGTCACAAACACGTCACACTCCATCGGCCTTCATCGGTTATTTCCGGAAGGATGAAAAATAACCGGAAAATCGCGGAACTGATGTCCGTTGCATTTATCTCTTTGTTGGTGCTTCGTGACTTTTTTACTTCTCTTCTTGCCACAGGCACAAAAAGTAAAAAATGCAGATATTTTCTGAAAATCCTTTTTGTCATCAACCAGGCTCTGTTAATTTTTCTACTGGGAGATAGAGCCGGCATTAACCAATAGGTCAACGTGTACATTTATTTTTTCATCGTCTAAAATTCCGTCAGCTTTTGATTTCCATTTGTTGAGAATATCAACGAATTAATTAACATTTTTGAAAGTCTGGTTATAGTCTTTACATACATTTTATATGCATCACCACCACTCATCAAAGAAACAATGGATAATGCATTTATGTCGAAATCAACAGTAATTTTCAAAAGAACCTCCCCAAGTTCATAGCCCTTTTTTAGCAACGTATTACTTTTTCACAACACACGCCTATTTATAACTAGTTACAGACAGAAACCGTTTAATTTTATTTGGCATATCCTTACCTGTCAAACCTCGATGACAGTAACAAAATGTGAAATTCAATCCGGTGTTTTAGGATGGAACAGGAATTGAGACTGCATATCGATATAACGACAATCTCAACATTACATCAAAATATTTTTTAACTTACATTTCAATCCATTTACTTAGACTTATCGTTAAAAATATAATATGCACATGTTTTCTGAAGCAACTGCCAAACATTTTTCCCAACTTATCTTGATGATTTTGTTTGTGCCCTGACGGAACATGCAGAGGATTTAATTCTTAATGAATGAGGAAGCCAGAGTATCCGGAGAAAACATGCGTTGCTGGGCAGATGACCGGGATTGAATCCGTCTTCTTGGTGAAGACGAGCGCGCTATCCACTGCGCCACCCGACCCATCATATACGTTACGCACAAGAACAAATATCTACTTTAGCTTTGAATGGAAGAAAACGGCGTCATTACTGCAAAGATTATATTGTTAATACATTTTTTCTAATCATCTATGTCACAAAAAGTCTCCATACGGGAGACCGGGGCAAATTCGGCCACCCTTGATATTTTTGTTTTTTAGCTTACATTTACAAATTTGAGGCTCTAAGCAGTTTAGTTGGCTGGTCTTTCACGCGAAAACAATTGTCGAGGCAAACTATTATGTACTGATATACTAAGCAGGAGAAAATAACTTTTGAGAGGGTATAGAAAGAAAATCATGATCTCGCTTCTGGTTATGCGAACTTTCTGTAAACGCAATACTTGTAATGTCGGTCTTAAGTCTCATTAGAGCTCACGTTTCATTGTTATTCCTCGATTAGTCGACTTTAAAAAAAGTTTATTTTATTTCATTCTGAAAGCAGTATATCTAATTCTGAAAGCTACGCTCTTTTTAGGCTTTGCCTTTTCATATAATTGTTTGGCGTTTTGGTAGCATGTACATGTGGCATTACCTTATTGAATAACATGTACCAATACATTTTAGTAACTTAAGTTACGCATAACAATACACTAGGAACTGTATTTCGGTAACATTTTCAAGTAACAATACATTTTAGCTACTTTGGTAACACACAACAATACACTAGGGCTTGTACTTAGGTAATATTTATAAGTAATAATACATTTTTAGTAACATGTAACAAAATATGTTTAGTTATTTTAGTAGCATTTACAGTACATTAGCGAGGTTTAACAACCTTGCTTTCACGCGTATATGTTACTACGCGTACACCTGCATTGTATGACTAGATTCTATGAATAACACTGTACAAATACATATTTACTGTGCGTGAACGTGTAGTATTTTTATGTCATCAATGGAAATACTTGTACATGTATTGCCTTTTTTTGTTTTGTTTTTAACTGTTTTTATTATTTTTCCTGTCATTACAATACGTCTTGATACAATCACACTATCTTACAAGATTATAGTGTTAACTACATGAAGTCGTTCTATATACATCACTCAAAAAGTTTGTTCCGTGAGTATTACGAGTAATACTTGTCAACATTTACATAAGTGAATAATAATGAAGTATTTTAGCAAACCCAGTGACGTAAAAGAACTGTATCAATCAAGATCACAGCACGTTTGTCGTGCAAACTTTACTTCTGACCCTGGCAAACGCATAGCATTGTGTAAACAATCGCCATAAAGTTTCTGCTCTTGTGAAATATCGTGAATTCGCTAATGCATGATAATAATATAGCTTCAACCGGGCGCCTGTTGATATAAGTAGCAAACGGGAAAATTCGACCATGCACACTTATATTTGATATACATATAATGCAATGTAATTTCAAATCTTTTCATACAATGTACTAATATACGTATATTTGAAATGAAATGTTATTACTTAAGTTTTAACCGCGTCTTTTCCCGACAGATTGTCATGGTAACTTTAAGCACTACATAATACATGAAGTAAGCAAAACCTTTGTTTGGTGAGGATAAGTCGCTAATGAAACAAATATTGTATTACATGAAACAGAAATTACTATGACAATGACTTTTGACCCCACACAACAAAGGGATGACCACACGATACTTGTGCCTGTCTAGTACAAAACCATGAATTAAAAGCAAATGCCGTGTTTAGAGGTAAAATAATCGGCCAGCTGTAGAGGATGCTCACATAGTTCCGAGAAATCGGGAACACTGCTCTGTATCATACGTCAAATACAAAAAGGCAACACGAATCAATAGCCTGTATTGCCATAACCGTGAACGTAGGAGGAATCTGTTTCAAGTTTTTTGTTTGTTTTGACATACCCAATGTATCTCCGTACACTGCTTAATGCTGTCTATCCCTTGAAACTTAGTCAACTAGTTATTTTTTGAATGTGTTAAGGGGCTGCTGTTAAGACAATGCTCTCCAAAGTAGTTCTGATTTCTGTATTGGCTCTTCTTATTCTGTTTCCACTGACAGCAATATTAAACCTCACGAACATTCACTGTTGTGCCAGTGATATGTTCTTCTTTTTTCTATCCACACACAATTAGCTATTCGA